GGTTTCTCCAGCCTTGGTTTCCTGTCCAGAGAATGCCACCAAACTTATCCTCACACACGGTTTACTCTCAGATCAAGGCCTTTCTCTGAAATCACTGCTCTAACCTAATTCTTGGTTCTCCAGTATCTAAAGCCTGTACTTGGCAGAACCTCTTCTTGAATTCCATCCTATCATGGTACTGTCTGTGACATTTTGTGAGTAAAAAAGGCAGCTCTGCTGGGAGCAGACGCTTTGCCTTCATCTCCAGACAACTATTCCCATTCCCAGCATAGTGAGGCAAACCTGGGAAGTCAGACCCAATGTACTGAGTTAGGCAATCAGACTGCACTTTTCTTATCTGACATTAGAGTCTGTTGATTAGATACACTAATATTTCAAACTCTCAATCCAGCTGTAAACATCACCTTTACCTTTTTGCCTCTGTTTTCTCTTTTTTTCTGGCCATTTTTCTAACAGGTGACTCTGCTCTGCCTCCTGGTCCTGCAGGCTGTCTCTGGAGACACATTCCCAGAGGTGCCTCCCTTTACACCAAAAGATGAGCATCTATCCTAAAAGCAGCTCCTAATGTTTCCTTTGGGGACACAAAACATCTCTCAGACTCAGTAAAAAAAAAAAAAAAAAAAAAAAAGCTCTGATAACGTTCCCAGTGCATTTTTGTCAGTTAGCGAGTGCACACCCCATCCCTTTCACAGAATACACGCTGAGGATGAAGCCACAGGATTATCTTCTATGGGCGGGAGCCTGCCCTCGCCACGGAGAGCATCCCCCCCCCCCACCAACGCGCCTGCGCGTGGGGAGACAGTCTTCAGCTCAGTCTCTCCCTCAGAGCAGCTGCAGGAAACTTGATGCCAGAGAACAGATGAGCACGTTCTTCTCCCCAAAGGCTGCCAGCTGCCTCCGCAGGACCGGGGGCAGGGCTCCGCACCCAAAGTACACACAAACCCTCTTCCCGAAGGAGTGCAGGCTCTCCCCTTCTCCACCTGCTCAGCATGCGCTCGGAGGGGAAAAGTCCTGCCCCGTCCCCCCGGCACCCCACCCTGAGATGTTTTTTAGCACCTCCCTTAATGTTGGCTCTAAATGGCGAGAGTGAAAGCTGGACTGAACGCTGAGAAAACAGGCTGCTGAAATCCAAGGGCACCCACGAGAAGGCGGAGAGAGACGCGGCCCGTGCTCCGGGGCGTCGGGGGCGAAGGGCTTCCACGGGAGACTAAGACATCACTGCACGGGGGTTAAACAAGTGGGATATGAACAAACGTTTCCCCTTTGGAAACAAATTTATTTTTAAAAAAAACGTCATTCATAAAAATAGAACATTTACTTCTACAATTGTTCCCTCCTTTCTACTATCTTAAAAAGAGGCCTGTCATCAGCCAAAACCAGTTCAGCA